TTACCCGAGTGGTCTAGCTTAAGTTGCTGTACTGTGCTTGTACCTCTTTTCAAGCCTCATTGCCCTTCTCATCCCAAAAAAAAAAAAAAAAATAAATAAATAAAATCCTCTATAACGTGACGTGCTATGATATTCCTTTCTAATATATTAAAGTAGTACATGTTTCTCAAGACAATTAAAAGCTCTTAGCTTGCTCCAGAGGTGAAAATCTCTGAGAACAATCTCTTGTTGATCAACACTGTCACCTCGGGCCCTAAGTTAGCAGTGAGGCTTGCGTCGTCTTCAATGGGCAAACTGATGAATTCAGCTCCAATGTTGTCACATGATAGGCAGAAGCCACAATCTCATCGATAAATCTCGGGCCAGACCTGTTCATTAAGACACATGTCACAAACTTACTCTATGCTTTCTTCGGTTGAATTTTCTGCAAATTAAATTTAAACTCGTCCTTGTTCTGAACGTATTTAAGATTATATTATATTTAAACTCGTCCTTGTTCTGAACGTATTTAAGATTATATTATTCATCCCTTAAATATAATTAGTTAATTAATTAATTTTCCTGCAAGCTCTCTGACTCGCTCAGTCAGTTTTGTGATAGAGATAAAATTGACAGTTAGAAAATTGTAGATCAGACTTTTATCTCTAAATGGGTAATCTGTTTCGGGTTCAATAACTAATTAATGTAGATATATTTAAAGTATCCCATCATGTTATTTATTAGGCTCTTCCGAATTGCCCTGACTTAGCTTCCACTGTGCTGATTAACGACTAACATGGATACGATCCAAAGCATTTATTGATTCTCGCAGGCACGTCGGATATTCCTTTCTGATTTAACTACATCATTAATATTTATTCGATTATTGAAGAAAGCGATACCAAAATTGTTTTGGGAATGAATCGTGTTCGTGTACCTCAGCAGACATGGATTTTGGTATGACATGGATTCATGTCCTTTAACATAGACTATAGACGTCCAACGGTCCCAGATAGCTGCATTGACTTCTCTCAATATTATAAGTGACCTTAAAATTGAGGTCACTGTGACTAAATTTATAGGACTATGTATTGATTCATAATAAAGTTTTTGTTGATTTACAAGTGACATTTTTTAAAGTTACTATTATTTTTATTAAATTCATGAGTGACATTCAATTCGTTATTTCAATAATTATTTATTTTTTAATTGAAAATAAAGACCATGATCCTTTCATAATATTTTAAATTTAAGATCTTCAATTGTTATTAATATCTTTATATTCACAATTGTCATTTTCCATTAAAATATATAACATTCACCTTTTATCAAAGAAAAATATGTAATTAATATTTTTTTTCAAAATACTTTTAATAAATAAATCATTCAATTACCTTCCACCTTTAAATGAAATTCCCTATTAATGAACTTGAAAAGATAATATTAGTTTTGAAGAAAATTAACTGGATTATTAAAAGTATGATTCGATTAAAAATATTTTATGTCTTTTAATGAAGGGAGAATGATTCGAATTTTGATTCTGTGAAATTTATAAGATAATGTATAACTTTTAACTAATTTGGTTATGTTTTTAAAAATATCTATATGTAATTTGATTTCATTTTGGAGATTTAAATTGAATACTAGTTACGTTGAAGTTTGGGTTTAAACTCCTATATAATATCAAAATATTTTTAATAATTTGTTACATTATTTGATTAATTATATAAAGATAATTTGAAGCTTTGATTATTCTAGGCTCATTTGTGTTGTATATTTTGGAATCCCAATGTTTTTTTGAATTTTTTTTTTCGGTGTTCTTAATTTAAGAAAAAAGATATTTTAAAATGACGGTATTACTTTGTTCATGTTACTTATTTTTTAATTTTTAATAATTAAAAATCATGATATTAAACTCATTAAGTACTACATAAATAAGAAATTAATTAAAATTTTACTAAAACGTTCATTTATGATCAAAGAGAAATGAATATTGTAGTTAATTTAGGGAGAATTTCAATAAAAACCCCTTAACTCCACTTATTTTGGAATTACATTGCAATCTGTGAGTACTGATTTGTATTAAATTGCGACAGAATTAAAAAATCCCCTTATTTAAATTAATGTCTAAACTTTTTCTATTTCCTTGTTTATTGTACTACTTGACTTATTAACTAGATTGTTTCCCTGTAGATGCACATGATATGATTGTTTTTAGAATGCTATGTTTATTATGTTCATGGTGATGAATTCTATTATACATATAAATTAGTTAGATTCAGTAATTTGGTATATTTTTATATATAAGTAGTTTACATTTCATATACTTTGATACTATATTCATTGTGTAGTATCAATGTCAAAAATGAGATATATCAATTTGTTTCACACAAAACTAATGTTTCTTATCTTATTAATTAAGCTTACTTCAAATTTATTTTTCTTGATGATTAATAGTTTTTATTCAAATGTAACTCCTCCAATTTTATTTGGCCAAAAGCATTCCAAATTTGTTGTACATAAAACTCTCTTACCTTTATTACTTACTTCCCTCTGTTATTTTTCTTTTTTTTTTTTTTTCTTTTTGATGATTGTGTTTATTTTTTTGGTCCCTTGGTTTTGTGTTCACGCACACACATTTGCACTTATGGTTACGATGACATTTAAGTTTATGTATTTTAAATTTTTAATTATCTTTGTGAAGTTTACTATGCTAGATTGGATTTTCTAATTCAAGGTGCTAAATTTTCTTATGTTTTGGATTAGATAGAATGAAAGGTTATGCAAAATGGTATTACCAAGGATTTGGAGCATTTCATGTAATGTATAATATCATTCTAGAAGAAAATGAATGGAAGTGTTTATAGATTAAGGTAGATCAGATTAAAAAGGCCTCATGTTAGGTTTATAGATTTGATTACTTTTATATATAAGTAGTTTACATGTACCAATTAAATATTATGTTAATTGTGTGGTATTAATGTAAAAAATGAGTTATATTATTTTGTTGCACATAGAATCTGTGTTTCTTTTTTTAAGCTCATATCAAATGTTTTTCTTAAAGTTTAGATTCTTTAATTTAAATGGTGATTTAAACATATATTATTTAAAGTAATTATTGGGCAACTCATTTCAAATTTCAAAATTTTAGAGTTGAATTTTTATAATTTGTGAAAATTAAAGTTTAATTTTATCATAAATTCTCCATTTATATTTTTTATTACACATCCAACATTTATAATAAAAAAGTAATAGATTAAACCATAATTTTTTTAAAACTATAGAACTATTATGATTTATCTCAAAGTTGAATTTGCTAAATGACCTAAATCTACCTATTCAATGAGTATATTAATTATATCACTGAATAATATTAATATTTGAAAATTAGCAAGATGTGTTTCCTCATAAAATTTTAAATTAACCCTCATGATGCAAAGACTCCTCACATTTATTGTTTCCTTTAAAAATTAAAATTTAGTGTTTTTTTTAGTATCTTATGACAAAATACCTTATAACAATTTAGTTAAATTGAATAATTATTATTGTGCCCCATGTGACACTCATTAAGTGATAAAATTTATTCCGCTCATTAGATCCGAATTTGATATATCTCATAAAATTATTGTAGTTCTAATCGTAATCCATTGACAAATTTTACTATATATTTTCCCCATTTTTAAATATAGCAAAATTTTCATATGGTTTGTTGTTAGTTTTTACAAGAAAGCAATAATTTTTAAAAAGTATTTATGATATCTTTCCTTAATTACTCTTCATTAAACTATAGCATCATTATAGTAGGAAAAAATAAAATATTAATGACAAGTACATTTTAATTCAAACTTTTCAATTTCAAACAAAATTATTAATATTAGTTACTTTTTAAGATGTGTGAATTGATTAAAATTTGCCCATATAAAAAAGTAAACAGGAATAAGTTGATTGATTTAAATAATAAAATATTATACTTTATAATTTATTATTTAAAGTTGTATGTTATATACAATTAATTATCTTATATATATACAAAATACAAGCAACAATGATAAATCTCCTACATTTACAAAAAAATATTAGATCTCATACATTTTTTTTATTATGAGTCTCATGTCTATAAGCATTTTAACTATAGATCTCATCATTATTGTCAAACTCTTGAATTGACTCTACAATTTATCCTTTTTATGTTTTCAGCTTACAAAATTGTGTTAATCACCCATAAACTTGAACTAGATAAAACTAGGTTAAATTTATAAGTTAACTCTTCAAGTTTACTGTTTTTTATTTTTAGCTTATAAATTGTGTTAATCTGCTCACAAACTCATTAAGTAAAAATGTATATACTATTAGAACTTAATTTATAGAAGTGGGAGAATTTGGTTCAATGAATAATAAAACTTAAAAAGAAAATATTAATATTAATAAAAAAGAAAATAAAAAATACCAAAAATGAGTTGTCATATTTTGAAATTTATATATTGAGTATAATAATTTATAAATATAGATAGATTTAATTTTAATAATTATATTTAAAATATATTAAAATCAAAAATAATCATATTTTATATTTTAATTATTTAATTATGTACTTTTAAAGGTTATTATTAATAAAGGTGAACTCTTACAGGTCTACGATTTGAGTTTACATTTTAAATTTACATCTTTATCCCAAATTTACTTAATCTCTCGAGTTTAACAACCTTGGGTCCCATGCCTATTTTTGATTTTTTTTGTTGTGGGTCCCACATGAGCTATTAAAATACAGCAATTAAATTCAACTAAAAAATTATGATACTATTCATTCAACTACAGATGTATAGTACTGTAAACACCTTATGAATGTTACTTATAGAATGTTAATAATTATCCTACTTAATTAGTTTTCATTTTAAATAAGTGTGGACGACGAGTAGTTATTGAAATTCTCCCTTAATTTATCCTTTACCCACCTTGCACTCGTAAGCTCCTATGAAAGTTCCTAGCTAGAGGTTCTAGATGAATGCATGCGTCGGCCCGCCATGTTGATAATATGCGCGCGGAGAGAAAAGGCTTTGTATATCTATAACTACCTTCACTTCAATTACACAAGAACCTTCTCCGACCCGCCACTCACTGCCGGAGAAAACTACCTGCCGCCACTAAGCATGGCTGACTCCGGCCGCTTCGCCATCCAGCTCGCCGAGAAGGAAATGCCTCAGCTAATGGCTTATCGTGCCAAGTTCAGATGTTCCCAGCCTTACAAAGGCCTCAAAATCGCCGATTGTGGCAACTTAACTGCTGAAACCGCCGTCCTCGTTGAGACCTACACCGCCCTCGGTGCCGATGTTCTGTTGTGCTCCTCCACGCCGCAGGATCATGTTGCTGCTGCCATCATCGCACGTGGCAGCGCCGACGTGTTCCCTTGGCCCCTTGATTGGGGCAACGGCGGTGTTCCCCATCTGATTCTTGGCCTCGACGAGATCTATGAGATTAATCCTGTGGGTGTGTCAAAGGAGATGGTCGTGGATGCTAAGAAACTTTACGACGATGTTTACATGACTTTCTCCAAGAACAAGGTACGTACGTAATAAAGTCTATCATATCATATTAGTTGGGTTTTGTTTCGATTTTGGCTTAACATATGTTTAGTTTTGTAATAATATTACGAATGTTAAGTTCGATCTTAATTAGTTTAGTTTAGTTTTGTAATAACATTAGCACCCTCAAACTGCACCGCCCTTGACACCTGTTACGTGATTCTGAGCTCGGATCTGATTATTTTATGCAATTTCCTAATATCTTTCTTATGTATTTTACATTAATTCGAGTACATATCTACTGAACCTTTCTTCCATTTTCTTGTCCGGTGCGGTTACCGTTTGGATGTCCGATGAAGATGGGTCTTTCCCTTGCGGACCATGGAGCCGGGTTGACATATGAACCAGGTTCGGGTTTAGATGATGATGAGGAGGTCGTGGCTTCTCCTTCAGTTGCAAACCTCGGAACTGATGATCATCATGAATCGACCAATGATATACAGCCTGAGTTCGTTAGTACTTTGTCCATTAATGGAGGCGATCATACAAACCTCATCGCTGATGATGGGATCGGGATGAGCTTCGATATCATGGAGATGCTGCCTCGCAATTTGCGTATCTTCGTGATTCTTGTCATATTGCTCACTGTTGTCGCTGGGATGGTTTCCAAGTTTGTGTCAGCTTCTAGCTCCTTTGGATCAACCTGATGATAAAAGGGCTATACATACATAATACATACATGTATACGTACACACACACAAATATGTATAATTAGCCTGTCATCACGTGCTAGCTAGTCCCGTTCCTAGCTATCATACATAAATATACACAAGCACACGATGATGTGAATTAATTAATGTGAGCTTCCATTAATTGATGAAACAATATTGATAAAAATTTATTGCAAAGGTAATTTAGTTATATGATGAATTTCTCTTTAATATTTATAATATTTGAATTTAAAGAATGCAATATTTATTTAATCTAATTGAATATTTTTTTCAAGTAAAAAATTTTAATATTTACTCTCTCTAGATTCGTTGCCTTGATCATGACCAGTAAATTTATATTTTTTATTTTTTATTTTCCGTCGACTTGGTCCCTCTTCACCATATTTTCCAACCCTCAAAATTCAAATTCAGCGTCTGGGCCTGTGTATGTCGTGGAAGGGATTGCATGCGGCCGTTACTAGCTCGTGATTCTAAGGACAATTCCGTAGCAATTGAATGCCCAAGTCCAGTGTATCTATCATTATGAACAAGAGTGGGTGATTTAGGGGAAATTTTCTTCATTTTATTAAACGTAAGACAAAACGGGAAGCAAATTAATTTGGGCATAATAATAACATCGATGTAATAATTAATGTCATAACTGTGGTTATGAAAAACAAGTAATAGTAGCTTATAAGATAACCATGATTTTAGGTTCATAATTGATTTTGACATCTATGAGGGTGTTTGGATATTAAAAAAAAAAACCATGATTTTGAGTTCAAAAATTGATTTTGGCATGTATAATGGGTATTTAATTTTTTTTTTAAAAATATGGTTTTGAATTCATAATTGATTGTAACATGTAGAGTAACATGGGTGTCTGGATATATTTTTATAAAACCATGATTTTATCTTATTTTCAATTCTTATTAATCAATTTTATAAATCAATCAAGTATATACCATGTAACATAATCAATTATATTAAAAATTAAATTTTTTTATAATTAATTATATTCAACTGAAATTTAGCTACGCTCGTGATTTTAAATTCATAATTAATTTTTACATTTAATAAATGTGTTTCGATATCCGTTCACAGACCATAGTTTTGGCCTCTAGAATTGATTATTTATGAAATCCAAACGAGCAAATCTGGGGCCTGACCTGTTCTTTAACACACATGTCACCAGCGTACTCTATACTTTCTTGGGTTGAATTTTCTGCAAACTCCGTCCTTGCTCTTAACGTATTTAAGATTATATTGTTTATCGCTTAAATATAATTAGTTAATTAATTAATTTTCCTGTAAGCTCTCTGACTCGCTCAGTCAGTTTTGTGATAGAGATAAAATTGACGGTAAAAGATTGTAGATTAGGCTTTTATCTAAATGGGTAATCTGTTTCGAGTTCACTAAATAATTAATTAATGCAGACACATTTAATGTATCTCATCTTGTTATTTATTAGGCTCTTCCAAGTCGCCTTGACTTAGCTGCCCCTGCGCCGACTAACGACCAACATGGAAACGATTCTAAGCATTTAATTCTCACAGGGACGTGATATTCCTTTCTAATGTAATCACATCATTAATATTTGTTCTATTATTGAAGAAAGTGATACCAAAATTGTCGTGGAAATGAGACATGTAAGTGTACCTCGGCAGACATGGATTTCGGTAAGGCACGGTGATAAATAACAATTTTATATACTTTTATTTTTTTAATTTAAATTTTTAAATATATATTTGAGGTTAATTGAGTTTAATTAGATATTATTTAATTTTATTAATTAATATTTAATTTTAAAATTTTAACTAATTAAATCTTTGATTTTAAAATATAAATAATATCTTTAATACTTTTGCACAAGTGCTATTTAATTTTCTTTTATTTATGCAAATTTTGTTAGATTCAATTTGAAAGATATTGATAGAGAATATTTTAGATAAAAAGTATATGGACATGTTTGGAGATCAAATTAAGAATCAAATTATAGAAATGACGTTTATATTTATCTTAGGTTTTTTAGTGTAGTTTTCATTTACGGTTATTTAAGATAATTATATTTTTTTATTAAATTATTAAGTTTTAAGTTGGAAGAGGCGTATGACACACACCACATGACTTCTAATATAAAAGCCTCACACGTTGGGATTTGAAGGAGGAACGAACGCGTCACGGAAGAAGAACAAAAAATGATCACTCTTCATCTTCTAATTCCGTTCTCCAATTCTGAGGTGATGGCTTCTTTTTTTCTTACAGTATACTGTTTGATTTTTAGTTTATGGAGGGTTAAATTTTTAATATGATCAATCACAAACTATGATCTTAAATTTTAATCAGAGTCTTTAATATTCAGAGAAGATTTTATTTTAGCTTTATTTCAATTTTTTCTTCTTCAATCTACCTCTAAATTTTACGTTTTAACTGCTATTACTGATTAGAGTAGCTTTATTGTATAATTTTTTAGTTATAAATTTTATCTGAGATTTCACTTGCTATAATCGATTGATATAGCATTGTAAGAGTAATTTGGCCTAACTTGAGTGATTATTTATGCTTTATTTTTGGTGTGGCTAACATGGAACAGTTATTAAGTTGTGGGTTAAAGGAGATCTTAATTAATCTATAACTTAATTTCTTGTTTAATTCTTGAATGATAATTTGAAAAATATATAATAAAATCAGAATAATAAAGTTAAATAAAATTAATTTATTTTTTGGACAAAAAAGATTAAATTTAGGTAATTGGATTGTGATTGATTGCGCTGCTTGTGTTTGATAATTTTCTTAGTTAAATTTATTTTTATTTATTTAATTTTAATTTAGTTTTTAATCTCATCATAAAAAAACCCCCATTATTTACTTTTTTATAATCATAATTTAAATAGTTATTCTATTGACTCCTAAGAAAACGACCTAAATTGCGCTTTACTGCAAAATCTAGTTTTTATTAATTTTAGTTTTATTCGACAGTAGTGTCACATGGATTCATGTCTTTTAACATAGACTATAGACATCCAAGCTAGCTGCATTGACTTCTCTTAATTTTATAAGTGCCCTTAAAATTTTGGTCACCATGACTAAATTTACAATACTATCTCTCTATCTATCTAATTTATAATAAATTTTTTGTTGATTCATAAGTGGCATTCTTTAAATTCACTACTATTTTTTATTAAATTCATAGGTGACATTCAATTGATTATTTTAATAATTATTTGTTTTTTAATTGAAAATAAAGACCGTGATCCTTTCATAGTATTTCAATAATTTATAAGGTCTTCAATTGTTATTAATATCTTTACATAATTCACAGTTGTCATTTTCCCATTAAAATGTATAACATTCACCTTTTATCAAAGAAAAATATAACTTTCACCAAATAATAATTTTTAATTTGACCTAAAATATTAATTATGATTGTGTATGATTAAATCAGAACTTCACATGGTGCTCATCACCCCTATGGGATCATTGAGCTCTTCATTTCTCTTCAAATGATCTCTGCTATTGAATTTTTGAATAGAGGGAGTATAAAAATTATAATACTAAATGTAGACAATTTTTTATGTTATTAGAAGATAGATATTACAGGACTCATTGCCCCTGATAAGATTTAGATAGTCCAAATTTAAGTTTTTTACTGTTATTTTATATTCATTAAAAAAGATGTAAAAAATATTGAAATATTTAATAAATTTATTTATCATCAATCTAGCCAGTACAGATTTAATTCAGATAACTTAATTTAATATTATTTTTTAATAATTTTTATAAATTAACTTTTCATATGTAATCTGAACAGTACATATATAATTTGAAATATCCAATTTAATATAAAAAATTTTATAATTTTAATTAATTGATAATCTAGATGTACCATGAATAATTTATATTTAATATTATAATTTTTATTTTGATAAATATAATATAAAAATATTTAAAAAATAATTTTAAATAAACAACAGAGATCATTTGAGAAAAAGTGAAGGGCCAGACTGAGCACCGAATGCGGTCTAAAGAAAAAGTCATATGACATTTGTTTTGAATTTATTATATAGGGACATATTTAAAATTTTATATATTTTTTACATTAATATTAATAAAATTAATAAAAATAATTTATAAAAAAATTGGATGAATATAAGAGAAGATTTGAAAACTTAACTTTACGTATTCGATATACTTTTGATTAATTGAATCAAAGCAAGTGAATTTAAAATATATATATTAATGATAAAAATTTATTATAAAGTAAATAATATATAAAAATATATGTTAATTTAATTTAAAATAAGTCTTTAAATAAATAAGATTAGGTGGGTAATCTTTTTAATATACACGCACATAAATTATGATGCTTGATTGGAAGGGTACGCCTCTAACTCGACGAACTAGTCTGTACGTGGGCGGGTGGTGCACCCAACTAGCTGATGACATGCAAGAGATACATAGAAGAGCGTGACGTCAAGATATAATGGCGTCATCATGATGTAAAAATGATATTTTTTTATCATTTATGTTCTTCTTTACTGTATTTTATTTTTATTATATTTATTATTTCTACATTTGTTTATCTCTTGGACAAATCTAAAAGTTTCACTCCATGTCCTTTAAATAAATAATAAAAAAGGCAATTACATTATTTTTTTAGTCAAAAATAAGTCCTTGTTGTAAATGCAGAAAATTAGTGGCTCTTATCACGACACGATCTCACATTCCCACCGCTTCCGCTGGTTTTCTAGAAGGGTTGGAAATCTGAAGGCGAGGACGGAAACACGCAAAGATAAAAAGTGCATTTACTAAAATGGACAAACACAATTACTAAATTGTGCGAGCGGGTTTAAAAAATGCATAAACTAAATTTCAAACACAATTAACTAATTAAACGCATTAACTAACAAAAATATTAATTTTTATATAAATATCATTATAAATTATAAGCTAGATTAAACCCCGTGCAAGTAGGTTAGCAAATGCATTAACTAAAT